TCAAATTACTTGCTTTGTATCCGAAAGCTAAACAATGCACAAAGAAGACGTGTGTGTGTGGGGGGGGAATCAATGCATTTGAGTTGTGGTGTTGGGGAAGACTGCCAAATATCCCATGGATTGATAAAAGAACAAACAGATGTTTCTTGGAGAAAGTACAACCAGAATTTTCTTTGGAGGCAAAGATGGTGAAGCTTCATCTCACATACATTGGACATGTTCCTTGGAAAGGGGCATCATGCTTATAAAGATAGAGCATCAGCAAAGGAGCAGAAGATGCTTAATGAGATAAATTGATACAGTGTCTGTGTCAATGTACTACAATGTGCTGGGAATGACAATGATGGCTCAGAATAGGATAGAGTTCAGATCTATTGTTCACAGGATTGTTATGAATTGTACTTGACAACACTTAATAACAATATAATGATAGGTGGGATATTAGACCACAAGTTGCAGAGTTGGAAACAACTCATAGCTGAACTCTGGCAGATTTTCAGAGTTTGTAAATTGCATAGGAATAGACTGCCCATATTTCTCCCTTTGAACAGTTGGTGGATTTGAACTGCCTGCCTTTGGATTGGTAGTGTAATTCCTTACTCAGTAAGCCACCAAGGTTTCATTCCTGTTGGTTCTCATTCAGCAGGTCTCAAGGATAGGCCAAGAAGTTACATTTTCTACAGAGTCTGGTGGCACACAATCCTTAGGAAGTTGCACTACTAACTCAATAGTCTCTCCTTTCTCTTATTTGGAATCCACCAACAGCTCCTTGAAAGTAAGACGAGCAAAAAAGAAAAAAAAGAAAAGAAAACAGAAAGAAAGACGAGCAATTTCTTCCCTTGGGATACAGTTTTGGAAACTCAATGGAGGGTCAGCTAGGGGTTTGTTCTGACTTTATGGCAAAGAGAGTGAGGGAATGAGTGACAAGATGATGGTAACACTGTAGTTCCTTGAGAATTGAGTGATTTATTTGAATGATTAGCAGATCATCTATTTTCCCCCTATTACACAAAATTAGTTTATGAAGAATCTCTCACAAATTAGTCAAGGTTTAGTACAACAGTACCAAGCCAGATTAACAGCAAAACACAATCCCTTAATTAGTAAAAGTCCTGGTTTCAGATCAGCAACATAAAGTCAAGAAGCCTCTGCCTTCCTCAATCATCCAGCAAGGTTGTCTCAGAGCAGTCTGAAGTCAGCTTCTCCTTCAAGTACTCAACAGCAAATTTTTTAACTGTGGCCAACACAAACACAGGAAGCCTCAGGTCACACCTTGCCACAGTTTCTCCACAACAATGCCACAGTGTCTCCACCACCTTCACTAGGGTCTTGCCACCAGGGTTTCATTCTCACAGGGGTCTTGCATTGGTCTGGCTCTCACCAAGGTCTTACTCCAGTATTCCTCAAGTCCCAGTGTGGGAAGCAACCTCTCTTATTATAGTCCCATAGCTGTTGATTATTTCAAAGACCTTGTATCTACAGTAAAGGTAAATGAAGACCTGAGGGGGTTAGAAAAGCCAACATTTAAGATAACACTCCAACATCTCTCTCCCCTGGAGCAGGAGGTTGATTTAAATCACCAGAGAGGGTGCATGGTCTTTGGGTTAGCAAAACAAGTCCTTGTGGACTATACTATCCTAGCATAATCTACAACCTGATCAATGATCCTAGACTGCCTCTGCTATAGAAAAGTTTTGGAAGATAATTATCAGTCATCTAGTAACTATATAAAACTATCTGAATATACCTCAAATGTCTAAAATATCCACCATTTGTTCTATTGGATTTTAATTGATAATTCAAAAGGAGTTAATATGACTAACATGCATATATGTGCTATATCTATATTTAGAGATGTATATCTATAGATATATAACTATCATAAAGCTGCTATGCAGAGGACAAAACACATCATTTGATACAATAGTATTATATACTACAGCATGACAAATTGAACAACAATAACAATCATACATAATGAATTATGTGAGTTTGTGTAATAGATAAATTGTGTTTAAACATGACATACTGTTCTTGTGACTTCAAAATAGATTTTAGTGGCATTCAGGTTAAATGTGAAAATAAGAATACTCTTTACCCTGATTTTCTGCTCATATTATAAACTAATGCAATTCAAGTATTATAAACAAGTGGGAAAATTGATCCCTGTGAATATAATCAGAGAAATATCATGAAGAATGAACATACAGACATCTCTAAGCAAATTGTAACTGGATTATGTTATTTTTAGATCTCTAATTTGCATCTTTCAATTTTTTCTACTCATGCCTCTTCCAAAATCCTTCATCCTATGAAACTAGCAATTTAGTCAGAAGCCCTGTTCTTCAGTAAGAAAGGTATCATTGAAAGAAAAAGAAATAGAAATTTTGATGCAAAAATAATTTGAGAATCCTCAAAAATTTACATTTGCAGTTACCATCAACCAAAAGCAACTTTAATTCAAAATATAACATAATTACTCTATTCATTCAAAATATCCCAATTTCAGCTCATATTTGACTGTGAAGCTATTTGTAGCTTAAAATTGGTCAGAAGTGAATGTAAGAAACTAATAATTTTTAAAACTTGATAATTATTATCTTAATATTTTAAACTGATGCCTCTAAAATGTTTACTATTTCTATTGTAAAAAAATTACTATGGACTAAGTAAAAAAATGATCAAATTGAAGTTGTTAATAATCTCAATTTCTTCTCTATCATGAAGCTGTCAAATCAGCTTTCTCGGTTCCACAGTCAACACTCTTGGCAGCAGCAGTCAGGATATCAAAAGATGAATTGTATTGGGAAAATATGCTGTCAGGGACCTCTCCAGAGTATTGAAGATCAATGATGTCAGTCTCAAGACTAAGGTGTGCCTGATATAGGCCATCATTTTCACGTTTACTTGCTGTGAGTGAGAGAGCTGTACAGTGACTGAAGATGATAGAAGAAGGATTGATACTTTTGAGTTGTAGTGCTGGAAAAGTGTTGGATATACCATGGACTGCTAGGAGAATAAACAGATTTCTCCTGGAGAAGGTAAAACCCAGCTGTTCTTTGGAGGTAAGGATTTTGAAGTTCTGTCTCACTTTAGGCACATAGCCAGGAGGAATCAGTCCTTGGAAAAGGACATCATGCTTGAAAGGGCAGAGGGGCAGCACAGGAGAGGAAGACATTGGACTATATGGATTGACTCAGTGACTAGAGAAATGCTATTAGGTCTGTAGGAGACATGAGATTCACTCAGGATAGGATAGGGTTCAGAGCTATTGTACAGAGGGTTGCTATGAGTCATAGGTGATTAAATGGCACATAACAACAACAACAAGTATAAAGCACATAAAACATTACCTATTTGGGTGCAAATATATGACCTCAGGAGCCTATAGGGAGCTCTGGTGGCTTATTGGTAAGGAGTTGTGCTGTCAACTCAAAGGCAAGTAATTGAAATCCACTTGCTGTCCTGTTAGGAAAAGATGAGCAATCTCCTGAAAACCCACTGGTGAGTCAACTATGAGTGAGTTCCAACTTGACATAACATAACAACAAAAGCCCTTGTCATGTGGTAGATTCTACTAGTGGTGACCTTGTAAAATCCCCATAGGGTTCTAAGACTATATTCTTTATGGAAGTAGGCAACTTTCTCCCTCAGAGATGGAATTTTATTCAAATTACTAACCTTTTAATGAATACCAATTGCTAAATAGAACAACAATACATCATTAAGGTTTTGTAAAAATGAATACACACAACAACAACAAAAATAATGTTTAAGCCTTTCTTTCAAATCATAGCAACTTTACAGGACAGAGTAGAACCCCATTTCAGGGTTTCAAAATTGTAATTGTTTAAGAAGAGACAGCCTCATTTGTCCTAAGAGCATTGCTGATAGATTTGTACTATCAATATTTTTTGTTGTTGTTAACAGTTTAATATTTAGTTCACTGTGCTATCAGGATTCCTTAAAGATATGTAGATAATACTGACTTTTTAAATTAAATTAATAGTTCCAACTGCTAATTCACTACGTTGCTGTTGTTGTTTTTTGCCATCCAAGCGGAACTGACTCATAGCTGACCCTCCCATGGGCTTCCAGAGGAAGCAAATCACCAGAGAAGAAACGGCCCATCTTTCTCCATGGAAAATCAGTTGATTTGGGCTGCCTGCCCTTGGGTGGGGAGTGCATCTCTTTACTCACCTGGCCATCTTAGCTCTCTAATTCACTCAAAGTGACACACAATTACTAATTTACACATTATTATTACAGGTGCACATGACAATATTCAATGTTAGCAAATTTAACACAAAAAGAGTCTCCCATTATAGTCCTTGAAGGCAATGGAAAGATCATGGAGATTACAAAGGAGAGTTCACGGAAAACACCAAACTCTATTTTAGTAGCAAGATGATTTTCTCTAGTTTTATATTTCTGATAGTAGGGAAAAGTGTTCACTCTGACGACATTGAAATGTTTTGTGAAAGAATTTCTATTAAATTTAGTGAGTTATTCTACAAAAGAAATCTCAATCTAAAAAAATTAATAACTAAATGTGTTTCCCAAAATAAGGTGACTGAGGGGGAAAAAATACAGATTAGTGGAAATGTACAGAATAACTTGGCCCTCTAAAAAAAGTGAGAGTTGGAAAGTTATTGAAGAGATTAGATGATACAGTCCACCGTTCTACTGAGACCTTCAAATTCAGTAATTGTAAATCTGCTTCATATCACAGTTTTCACAATCACTGAGCATTTTCTTACAACGTACATCTGTTCAGCTGAGATATAGAATTAGACTTTCCTTCCAAATTGCACACTATACTATCTGTAAATAAAAGCAAAGAATGTCTTATCTCCCAAAATGCATAAATAAGAAATACTTAAATGTTTTTAGTGTAAAATAATGTAATCTATACTATAATAAATAGTTCAAAACATACACATCCAAATATATTATCTTAATAATGAAAGTGAATTTGCTATTTTAAATATTTTCCTTACCTGTCAGGTTCTTCAATCCAAGTTCCTGAAGTCCAATATTTCCATCTTTTCTGTAGTTTAAAAATATTGCCAGTGCATAACGATCCTCATAAAGTTTTGTCCCACGAATAATACGTAAGTTTTCCAGAGGCAGGTATCGAAACTGATTAAGAGCCACTAACACATAGCCTGTTACTTCTCGAATGGACTGAAAAGACAGAAACAATAGCTTGTATTAAAAAAGAGAAAGATTCTTAGATTCTTATCATGAAATGTAGTCATTTAGATAAAAATGAGTTAACTCTAATATTCAGATTTAATATGCTACCACATAATATTATAAATAAGTATTTTGCTAATTCAAGATCACAAACGGTTAAAATCTCATTTGAAATATGAGTGGTATTTGAGGAGAAAAGTCATGAACCTACATGAAGTATAATAATGAGTTTTGTTTTATGGGACATTGTCATACCTGAGATTTAAATAATTTAAATGAAGGAAGATCTCATTTAATGACAACCTCAAATGAGTTAAAGGCAGATAACATTAGATTTAAATTTTTTTAAACAGTAAAGTAGTAAGCTTACAACAAAGTTATGTAGGTTTTAGTGGTTTAGGGAGCTCTAGTTTATAAGTTTTCGGGAGTTCGGAGGCCTAGTGGTAAGAAATTGCAGTACATTTACAAAATGGAATATTATGCAGCACTCAGGAGCAACAATTTTGAAAAATACTCCATAAATTGTAAAAGAATGAAGAGCATTACACTGAGTGAACTAACTCAGTGTCAAAAGGATAAAAGAGCACAGGCATTATTGTAAAAATAGGTGGGGTGAAACTACAGAGCTGCACGAACTAGTGGGTGAAGGGGGATGGGAAGCAAATGGGAAAGATCTAGGTGAAAAAACAGGGTAATGATGGGCAAGGTCCAATGGTGATTAATTTTATAAAACAATGCAGGAGAATGATTGAATAAAATACAATGTATATAAACTTTGTAAGCAAATCAACTAAAAAAAGTAAAATGGGGGAGAAATCGGAATTTAAAATAAAGTTTAAAAAAAAAAGAATCTGTGCTACAATGCAGGAAACAAGCAGTCTGACTCCACCAGCTGCTCTTAAAGAGATGGATGAACAAGCGCCTTCTTTGCAATTAACTACATCTGAAAACCTGCCAGAAGGTCAGCTATGGGTTGGTTCTGACCCAATGGCAGACAACAACAGCAAAATCATCAATATAGTGGTTTATAAAAAATGAAACAGATTGGGAACTCCTATTTTAATGTTTAACAATTAATTTATCAAAGACTTGATGCCCTGCATCATTTGGGGGAACACATGTATCAACAGCATATATTTTAAATGATTGTTCCAAGTTTAGTATTACAAACACGTATTTCGTTTTTAGAGTGTTTTTCATATTTAGTTATTTATAATATAACTTAAATATTTTACAATTTGTGACGTTTCAATATCAAAGCAAAAAGGCTTTGAGATTCATCTAAACTTATAATTTCTCAATAAAATGAATGCATTCTTAAAGATATCCAGTTAGAGTCAACTCATAATTGGTTGTCCTGACACTGAAAATCACCTGATAGGAAATTTAATATGTAAAGATCCTTTTAAAAAAACCAACAAAAGTAATATGAAAGTGTTGAAATATTTGGTATTATTTTGAGACTATGTTCGTACTGCTTTGAAGTTCTTAACTCAAGAGTTCTCTAGTGTTCAATTCTTGGGATGGATAACTATATATCTATCTCTATCATCTATCTATCTATCTATCTATCTATCTATCTATCTATCTATCTATCTATCTATCTATCTATTTTTCTTCTCCCCTGTCCACTTTCATTCCCTTTGTAATACTATCCAGTGTTTATTACCCATATCTTTATCTCCAGTTTTTCCCATAAACCTAAGCTCATATCCAAAAACCTATTCAACATTTGCCTTTGGCTGTGTAGACATCCCAGCTAGAATTATCCAACACTGAACTCGTCTCTGTCTGCCTAGCTGGGGTAGATATCACAAAAATCCATATCTTAGGGTCATCCTTGCTTTACACATCATATACAAACCATCCCATTTGTCTTCCTATCAGCAGAATCTAGCTACCAGCCACTTAAAAATTTTATCATCCATTACTTCCATCAAATGAACCTAATTTATCATTCATGTTCGATACCTTATGGCATAGTCTCAATTCTGTCTAACTCTTAATTCTTTAAAAATATGTTTTGGTGACACACTACGAGTTAAAAATCTTTAAATGCCTGTCATAGTCTCAGCATAAATAGGTAACGTTTTTTTTTGTTTGTGTGTTTTTTTTCAATACTGCTACAATCAAATCTGTTGCTATATACCAATTCTGACTCATAGTGACCCTGTAAGAAACAGCAAAACAATCTCAAAGGGTTGTGAGGGCTTTCAATCGTTAAAGAAGCAGAACGCCACAGATTTCTCCCTGGAGGCACGGGTGGATTCAAACCAAGGTTTGGTTAGCAGTCAAGTGCTACATATGCCACTAGGATTCCTTAATGCTGTTATATATGATGAGTATTGAACAATTTAAATGTAACGAGTTCAATGTGAAACACGCTGTCAACATAAAATATGATTTGGGATTTTAAATCCTTAACACAAAATAGGTTTGTTTGTTTGTTTGTTTTTTTCTTGAATGCTTGTTGAGATGATAACATTTAGGATAAATTGGGTTAGATAAAATACATTAAGATTGATTTCACTTGTTTCTTTTTACTTTGATAATGTGTCTACATGTACATTTGCCACTGCACTCTTGGATTTCAGTATAACTCTATCAGGAGGAACTGCTTTATGTGATCTCATCAATTTCCCTTCTGAACTTCCCTACCAACCTCTTTACTGTATTCAAGATATTCCCAAATACCTTGAAATGTGGTGGGTCTTCCAACATGTGAGGCATAGTCCCACCTTTAGGCACTCACTCTCGACTTTACTGCCTAAATTGCCTCCTCATTGCTCTCTTCTTGGCTTAACTCTCTCATTGTCTTCTAGTCTTTGCTCAACACCTAATTTTTTTGTTTTGTTCTAATTCTAATTGACCTACCTCTGCACCACTGAAAAAAAATCACATAGTTCTTCTCACCTTCTAACAACATGTAGATTGTCATATTGATTATGCTTATTTTTATAGTCTATTTCTAATCTTCCCAGAATATAAACTACAGAAGGGTGAATTTTTAATTGCTTACTAGTGTGTGTCATGTGACCAAAACACTTGGTTAACAGTCAACCAACCACAGATGTTTGCTGAATATTCTTCCTCTGGTCACATCCATCACCCACTGATTCTCTGTAGCGCCCTGTTTTGGACAATATTCGAAACTCGTGCATTTCCAGAATTTCCTTCTCACCTGGCCTTGCATCATCCTCATGCAGGACGATGAGACCATCTTCCCAAGCTGTAACCTTGGAGGAGACTGTCACTAGTGTGCGTACATCTAAGTAGGCACAACTGCTCTACATGATCTACTCATCAGGAATGTAGAAGTGAAATCATAAATACTTTCTGGTGTCACAAGTACAAAAAGAGTTTCCATTCATTATAAAAAATGGATTTATTCTTTAAGTTGTTTGTAGTTATCAAGCACTCTTAGTTCACAGTGTAAGTTGCAATAGTAAGATCAATGATGAGGTTGGATGATGTTACAACAAACTGTCACGAGGAACATGTCACAATACACTCAAATTTTCATTAACAGTTTATTCATAACTAATTCCAACTCCTTAGGAAGTGTCTGCTAATAAAAAGTTCAAAGATGTGCTTTTCTTTTTAAGAGAGGGCTCCTTCATTAGGTTCAACCATACTTCACAAATAATAGTTTATATTAAGAAGTGCAAAAGTCCCAATGGTTTACCAAAAGGTAGCACATTTAGGATGTTATCAGAAAACACAGGTAAAGTACAGGTAAAATGGAATTCATTAGCAAAAAAAAAAAAAGTCAGTATATTTTTGAACTGTTTATTAGCAGGAGAAACCTTTTATAACTAACAACTGGTAAAGATGTACTACTTGGCATTGCTTTTGGACTATATATTAAAAGAGACTTAAAATAACCTGCAAATAATAGTTCCCATCATCTCTTAGCTAAAAAGAGAAATAAATACAACTAAGAACATATTTGGATTAACACATTATTTCATATGTTTCTATTTGAATTGACTACACTGAAAAATGTATAAACATTTTGCTACAGAGAACGGGGAAATTATTATTAGAAACACTTTTTTTGTTATCTTCATAGACAGGTTAAAACCAAGAGCTACTTCCTTGTAGATATACCTGGAATGGAAAGATTGCTGCTATAATTAAGAGTATGTCATCCAAAATAAGCTCCTTATAGTATTTTGCCCCAGATACACTTTCATTCCTCTTTAGTCTTGCAAAATATTGTATGTCACTTACAAATCTCTACTTCAAAAATATTCTTTTGTTCAATGACCTCTGGATATGATTGTCACTAGTGAAACCACATATATTCAGGCCACTTTGACTACACTATTTGTAAGTAGGTCATTATTGAATTTTATAATACTGATGGTGAAGTCTGTATTGCCCTTATAAATTCTGTCCTTTCTCTTCATAAAAGAGAATGAAGAAAAAAATAGAAAAAGATAACAGCAAGACTCTGCTCTTAAGGTTTGTTCTTCCAACCTTTCATGTATACAAAAACTCATAATATCACATATTCTTTTCCTCTAATTTTTAAAGATAATTCAATATGAGGGGAGAAAATAAGGAGATGAATGGTAAAAAACATTGAAAGATAAATAATTCTTTTATCTGAAAGTCTCTAATTGTGCCTTAATATTGAAATCTTAAACGTTTAGTTTAGTGCCATGCTTTCAGATTTTCTCACAATTCTCTCTTGAATTAGTATATGGAAGCACTCCAAAAGCCAACTACAATGTAGAAGAATGTTTTTGTTGATCTTAGTTACTGTCAAAGCAATTATGTCTCCAAACAGCACTATGAACAACAGATCTGAAACTTCTCCTATCCTGTGCCATAACAATCTCGGAAAAGCTCAAAAGCACAGTTACAGCAACTGAAAATATCATGGCACTGATCAGACACATCTTGGTCTAAAGTGACATACTTGCTCATTAATATTTTAAAGAGGTCCAAGGTAGGGACTTTGCCTAATATGCCACTTGATT